GTTTGTTAATGTGTGATATATGACCAAATTCACAGTTTTAATTGATGAAAATAACGTACTCCTTTNGTGATATATGACCAAATTCACAGTTTTAATTGATGAAAATAACGTACTCCTTTCTTATGATTTCATATTGAGTTACTCATTTTTCCAAATTGAAAAACCTCGTGACATGTCATATATATGGTATGAGGCCTCCAATTGNTTCTTATGATTTCATATTGAGTTACTCATTTTTCCAAATTGAAAAACCTCGTGACATGTCATATATATGGTATGAGGCCTCCTATGGTATGAGATTGTACTTGATCATATGGTTGCCAACAATTTCNTGAGATTGTACTTGATCATATGGTTGCCAACAATTTCAGTGAGTCTGGCGACCAGCTCGGGTTTAACGAGGCGTGAAAAATCCCGATAGTTCCATGTTCTTTCGATAACCAAATGACCCCAATACGGAATCGATCTCAGTAAAATCCCGGCTATCCATCAATTGCATACGTAACCTTTTCTACCAAACCGTGCTGTTTTTAACCCTACTACGCTTAACTGACTGACATGGTTGTACGTATATAAACAGAGGCGTGGTAAGAACCTCCAGGTGGTGCCCCTGTTTTTTTTCACACTCAACATCTTATTACTGTTCAAGGACACAAATAAGGTCAATAATTAATCAAACTCTGGTCAATCTACCACCCACAATCAGCAAAAACGGCTCTTGTTAAAGTTATATCTGACGCTGGTCTCTCTTAAAATCGAGGGGCTCATACCGGAGAAAGAATAGCTAATATCAGAAATCGTGAGAGAATATAAATGCGAAGTTCTGTGCCTGCAGGAGACTCATAGAGTCATAAAATAACATAAAATGCATGACACTCATCATCCAACGGCCGCTGCCATGAGCTTTACTAACGACATAGTGATACTTACAGCCGACCTGGGAAAGATCATAATATCATCGGTGTACAAACTCCCAGGAACCGGGTTCATTTTCACAGAGCCATACAATTTCAGAGACAATAGGACAAAGATTATAATTGGTGACTTTAACAGCCATAGCATAAATTGGGGATATAACGAGACCAATGAAGATGGTGAGAAGGAATGGGCGGAGGCAAACGGTCATTCTCTTATCTTTGACGCCAAATTATCAGCATCTTTCAACAGTGGCCGATGGAAGCCAGGGTACAGCCCAGATAATATTTTCACAAGCGAGATCATTGCTACCCTATTCAAAAAAGAAATTTTGACTCCCAGTCCTAAAACTCAACACCGAACGATTGCCTGCGAAATCAAAACCACAATTAACCCAATAACTGTACCTTTTCAATGCTGTTTTAACTTTAAGAATGCTAAATGGAGTTTTCAAAAGCACTCAGTACGAGACATTTTTTTAAGTGGTTAAAAAATATCGAGGAAGTACATCCCTAGAGGCTGTCAAATGGAATATATCCCAGGNCAACCCAATAACTGTACTTTTTCAATGCTGCTTTAACTTTAAGAATGCTAAATGGAGTTTTCAAAAGCACTCGACAAAGCAATAAAACAAATCATTCTGCCCTTCATCAGTACGAGACATTTTTTTAAGTGGTTAAAAAATATCGAGGAAGTACATCCCTAGAGGCTGTCAAATGGAATATATCCCAGGAATGAAGAAGAACCTCACAAACAAACTATACAAGTATGATGTGAGCTTCAAAAATCAACCCTTTAAACTAGAGACCGAGGCTTTGGGGGAAGAATTAATAAAGATATAACGAAAGAAAAAAAGAATAGCAATAAATACTGGAGGGAATTGACATGAAAAAAAAAAATAGTAGCAAAGAGTGGCGACTCATAGACAACTAAACTGTGAAAAGCGACCGAAATATCAGTACACATGTTTGTGTACTGATACTAATTGCAGACGAAGTAGGCCACCAAATTCTCATTTGTTATAATATTTTTAATTATTCATTAATAAATTAATGAATTGAAAAATTAAAAGATGTTAAAAATAATTTTATTAAAATAAAAAAAAGTTTATATTTGGAAAAATCTACATACCTTGTGTAAAAAGCGATTGAGGTAGCTAGTTCATGGTATTATTTGTACATGTCATGTATTAAATCTTTTAAATAATAAATTGTTAGTTTTCAAAAAGATAACTGCACGTTAATGACAATTAAAAACAAATGTAACTGGATAAGAAGTGTCGAACTGGTTATATAATAAAGAATATAATATGCGTAGGCATGAAACATGATCGGCGATATCATTTTTTTCATACAATACATACGACAGTAATCGTTATTGTGTGGTGTTACCTTTAATGTTGAAAATATGCTTACAAAAGCGTCTGGTAGCCGATGATAAAATTCTTAGAAAATGATTCATTACATACAATCTATAGGCGTGCAGCAAGTTGTGTTAGTTTACATCGGGTTTCATCCCCACTCAACCAATTATATTAAATTAATATATGTTAATTTTTTACTACCCCCTTCTTTTTGTCTTGGAGAAGGAGGAGATCCTCTCCCGTTTTATTTAGTTTACGTTAAGTTTCGTAGTTCCTCTTCCATTGCATTAGATTAGATTACATTGGATTTAATACTCCACCGAAAACGCCCCTTCACGTACCCGAACGTGGGAGGAGTGAGATGAGGGGCTAAAACTTCCTATTTTAATCTACTTACAATTAATCATTTATTTGTAGAAATCTATTTCAAAAGCCGACTTGGATTCGGTTCGTTTTCTAGTATTCGAATTTATACAAAACTTCATCCAAACCAACTGTTTAAACTTTCATGTTTTATTAATTTTTTTAATTTTTAATGCTAAGCTAGTGGCTTGTTTAAATGTTTGATAGTGAACAATATAGTTTTTTTTGTCAAATAATTTTGGAATTAGATTTTTAAATTTAAAACCTGGGGGTACAATGTTTCAATCCATAGCGGAAGGTCTAAATAATCATTATGCAAATACTCACCATACTCTGAATCTAAATACAAGATTACCCGCAATCATTATCGTCCTCGATTGATAAAAGTCTAAAATGTCAATATCAGATTGTGGCATGCATTAAAAATTTCAATAAGGAATATGTAAACTGAATGCTACACTATATGTTTCCCAAAAAAATCGATTGGACTTTTTTCGCACGCGAAATCTTTACATAATTATCTGAAATATAATTAATATCATTATTAATTAATGTATTATATTCTTCGAAATCATATTTTTATCTTACTATTTGTTTTTGAGTGATACGATTGTACGATCCCCGTCCGTATCGATCGTTTTATTATTTTGACCTAATATTATAGAGTATTTTATAAATTTTATTTGATATAATCTTATTTAAAATTAATTACTTTGATTTATGACTTACTAATATCCTCAAACTCGATATCATCTGAAAACCATTCAATCCCTAAAAAATTATTATATAACTATAACATTTATTGGTTTTTTTATTTTTATTATTTTATACTAACAATTTTCAGAATCATCAGAGTAAACGTTCACCACTTAAACGTCCATCAAATTTGGATCCATATTTTTCGCAACTTCAAGTACTGATATAATAATAATAGTAATAATACAATTTATCATTTTTTAATTTCAACTTACAGAGCTCATTATGGCTGTCTCTAGTATTAGAAAATTTTGTATCAGTATTTTTTCTCTCGCTTTCCTTAGCTTTTATCTACAGAATTACAATTTAATAATTAAAATATTTAAAGTTAATTTAAAATAAACGTGAATAACGTTAAAGTGTATGCTTATTGTTAAAGTTTTTTGAGGTGCTATCGCCATAGTAAACTACATTTTTCACATAGTACGATTTTATTTCTTTTTCAATATTTCAGACTCATTCCAGAGCTTAAGAATTCCAGAATTTAAGCACTCAAGCAACAAGACAACCCATGAAAGCTTTAACACATTCATCTCAATAATGTTTTTTTATTATTAAAATAATTAATATTATAATTTTAATATGTTAACTGATAAAGTACTAAAAATTCGTACTGTAAATAAAATTTTGCTGTGTACTGTTTGCTCAGTGATTTCATAATTGAACTTCATTGGACAAGTATCACACAAATAATACATGATGATGATTTTGATATTGAAAATGAGAAGACTCTAAGGTGTCGATTAAAAAAATGAAATACAATTAAACCATAAAGGAGGGTTTTTTTCGGTTTTATGTATTTCATTTTTGTAAACCTTAGCACATATTTTGTGAACGTGAGCGTCCACAGGCTGGAGAAGATTTTCCAAGAAATTTTTATTTAATAGACGTTTTTATACGCTTATTATAACACCTTTTATCAAGTTTTTTTACTGATGTCATATTACATACGTTACCTATTTACATTATTTTTTTTTACTCTTATCTTTAATTTGTAGACAATACGTTTGCACATTATTATTTAAAGTAATTAATCATGGACATACTTTTAACGTTAGGATATTTCATTTTTGTTAACACATTAAAATTTAAAAACATGAGTTTGCTTATTTTACCCATAACTATTCTTATAATTTTTATTAGGGATTAAATTGTAGCAATATGTAATACAATTTGTAATTATCAATATTTTTTATTTTCATATTTTTCAAACACAAAATTGCCCAAATTTGTTCTACATTTTATATATTAATCATCAATTTTTTAAAATATTAATCATTTCAGATTGCTATAATGTTAAAGTTCATAATATCAAAATTTCGAATAATACTTCGAATAAAATTTATATATATACCTATAAAACTAAGATGAATTTTTTTAAATAATAGATATATAAAGTAACATCATAAACTAATTTATGTGGTATAATTTATTGTTATAAGATTTATTTAACAAAAAAATTGAAAAAAAAACTCTAAAAAAAGACCATTTAATTTATTAAATAAATCTAATTTATTGTTTGAGCATTTATTTTTAATACACAATAAGTATAATACCAATAAAAAATATAACTATTCGATTATTAACTAGTAAAAACAAATAAAGAATTTTTTTCGAAGGAAAAAATTTGGAAGCTAAACAATAAATAAAAATTTTAGCATTGCATCAAGATTTTAGTAACACAGAATTATTAAAAATGCAGTTTGGAATTTTTATTTTTATTTATTTTACTCACATAGGACTTATATCGACTTTACATCCAACAACTGTAAGAATAAAATATATAGAATATGTCATTAGAGTAGTAGATTATCTCCGTATCCAAAATGGATGGAATTCAATTAAAAATTTACAGCTGAATTATGAGTACAGAATGATGAAAATAGAAAAAGTATTTGAACAAAAAATTGACAAAAACAATATTTTAAAGATGTATAGTATTATTGTCCATTTACTTAACTACAAATATACTGAGATATTAAGAAGTTATGTAGAACTCGTTACTTTAAGTATAAAAGAGTGTAAAATGTATTCAATAGCTTATTTATTAAGTGAATATATTGATTGTACTCAACGTATTGAACAAAAAGTGAAAAATTCAATGATTATGTTTGACAATTTGTACCAAGTAATGACGTTTATGAGTGATTTTGATACAAAATGGTTATTTATAAATATTTCAGGAATCCCAATCGTCATGGTAGAAGAAATTTATTTTGCTTATCATTTTACAAATACCATGATAGTTTCAAAACAATCATACTTTATTGACCAGAGTGGAAGTTTTATACTTGATAATGCGACGTCAGTACTTTCAAATATTAAAATTTTTATCGATCAATTATATTTAATGTTGGAAAATAATGAAGTCAAAAATTGTATTTTGGCTGATCTCCCCGAACCAATAAACTATCAATTTTGTTTAGAAGAGCAATATTTACATTACAAATCAGATAATGCTAATACAAGTACTATAGATTTGGTGTTAATTATGCTAGATTCATTATACAATAACACAATAAAAAATGACTTCGAAGACCTTGGATTTAAAGAAATAATTAATCCGTTATTATACAAGTAAATTAATAAATTATTAATTTTTTACTATTTTATTTGATTAGAACAATTTATATTTTACATATCACATTTTTTACTTTTAAAGAAATCATTGATATAAGCTTATTCGAATATATTTTTATTTAAATGAGTTTTATTATCATTATAATAATGAAAAAAGGATCCCGAAAACGTACATTAATAAAGTACAGTATATGTATATGATGGTACTTTTACCCAGGTTTAAAGTATGGAACGAGTAACAAAAGAGTTTAGGGTAAGAGTAGGAGTGTACTAAGGTTTTGATTTAAGCCCTTACTTATTTTCTATATTGATGGATAAAATTATTAGAGGAATGCGAGGAGAGGTGATGTGGCGCTTATTGTGCGCTGACAAACAATGTTAATAAGAGAAAAAAGGGAGGAAATTACTCAAAGGCTAGAGGTCTGAAAATCAGCTAAAATAAATATCAGAATAAATAGGAGTAAGTCAGAGTATATTGAGTACGAGTTTGACAATGTAGAACACGATGTAGTAGAAATGAGGAGATCAGTGTCAAAAAGCGAGGACGTAATAGGAGAGGTGGAAAATTTTAAGTATTATGATCAGTTGTGCAAAAGAACGGTGGTATTGACGATGATGTAAGACACAGGGTTTAGTGCGGGTGGTTGACGTAGAGAGAAGCATCGGGAAAATTATGCAATAAAAGTTCAATGAGACTGAAAGGTAAGTTCTATAAGAATGTAGTGAGACAATGTGATATATGGTTTAGAGTGTTGGGGGTTGACAAGAAAGATGAACAGAGAATAAGAAGAGGTGAAAAAGAAACTTATATATGGATTAAACATTTTATGTGAAGAAAGAAATCGGAAACCGAATGGTTGGGTTGGGTTTAACCCAACCTGTAGAATTGAATGTAGAAGGAAGAAGGGCTAGAGGAAGACCAAAAAATAGATGAAAGGATGGTGTTAAAGATATTACTACTGGTAAAATTTGTAACTTTCACTGTATAATAGTAGACAAATTTATATAAAACTCATGTTACAGTTATTTTATTAATCATTGGTGAGGGTATGTGCAACTTGTACTTTTTATTGTAAGAGAAGAGTAATTACATCGATCGCCTGTTTTTGCCTATACTATTTAACTTAAAGTTTTGGTGTAAATTGAATAAATAAAAATAAAATAAAGTGGAAGAATAGCAATAAGAAAAACAGTGACTTTTAAACATTAACTTTTAATTCAAATATTGTTATTTTAAATCTTCCTTATGCGTAGGTGAAACATCATATTTAAAAAATATATGAATCAAAATAAATCAAATAACCTTATTGATTCAAAATAAAATTCATGTTGATTAAACAATGTTTCAAAATATTGTGGTAGTATTTAATAAAAAAAATATTCAAATTTTCTAACTGTAAAATTCACAATTTTTCACAGGTTTCCCTCTTTTTTGGAAACCTTAGAAATTTTTTCAATTTATTCAACTGATTTCTTGAAATTAAATTAAAAATAAGAAACCCAGCACAGGGGGGTCGCGGCACAGTGGTGAGGTGGCATAGTTGGATCAAGTATAATGATATCTGACAGTGATTAAAATCACTATAAAAAAAAAACGGTTCGATGCAAATCTTTAGATAGTGTTTAATTTTAAAAAATTGGTGGATTATTCCAAAAGCTTCATAAACTGCTAGTTCCTTATTAATATCCTGATTAAGATAAAGTATGTCGAATAAAAAAGGGATTATTAAAAAATAGTATTTCCCATAAAAAAATTATATTGATCAATACACTTTTTAATAAGTTATAGCATTATAANTTGTCGAATAAAAAAGGGATTATTAAAAAATATTATTTCCCATAAAAAAATTATATTGATCAATACACTTTTTAATAAGTTATAGCATTATAAAGTTAAAAATATAAAAAAAGAATTTTTTTACAAAAATCGTATTTTTTTTTATTAAGTTTAATAACTATAGTCTGTTTTCACCATGAAGATAAAATAAAGTCCTAAATTTTTTTTTTCCATTATAAAGTATATTACATTAGCTTTAATTTAAGATATATATAAAAGTGTCAGACCTTCCGGAACACTTTCAAAAGTTAAGTTGAAAAAATTAATTTTTTGTAAAAAAGGTGTCATTTTAAATCCCCCCCTGTGAGCAGGTCAAAAATCAAATTTATAAAAAAAATATACCAAATGATAGATAATGACATCATGCATCTATAAAAAAAAGAACTATATTGATATGTTTATTTTTAAACATTTACGGTAGTTTTTAGTAAAAAAAATTTTCGAAAATTTCGAAAATTAGCCATTTTTAAATTTGTAATTTTTTCGGAGGTTTCCCCCATTTACGGAGAACGAGGGAATTTTTTTCAATTTTTGAGGGTAATTTCTTCGACNGAGGGAATTTTTTTCAATTTTTAAGGGTAATTTCTTCGACTAGATACGATATGTGATCTTTCGACGTATCATTGAAAGAAATCGGTTCCGTGAGAGCTGAGAAAAAGTGGTAACAGACACAAAAAAAAATAAATAAACACATCTTAGTAAAAATAATACCTTCTCAGCTTCGCATCGAAGCTAATAAAATAAATAATTAAAAACAACATAATAAAATTAATAATTTCTCAACTTTTCATCTATGCCAATTTCCATGTATCTCACTAGAAAGAGAAATTACCATCTAAAGTATCAAAATGGCTCACTAAAATATTTGGCCTAAAGCAGCATATTCGCCTGTTTAAGTTGAAATACAGCCCAATTTGTATTTAAATAATAATTATGGTAAATTTCTCATATTTTTTTAAACAGAGGTCATTTTTTTTTTGTTTGAAGAAATGAAACGTTTCCAATTTTTTTTTATTACAGGTGTCGTTCATTGTATCTACCTCAAATTAATAGTATTTCAAATGAATTGGGAATATTAAATATGAATATTTTTCTAAAAGAGTGTTACTGGATCACTTTGAAATATCTATATATTAGACATAATGATCTATTAGTATGTGCAAACCGCGTGTTTAGAGATCAAGCAAATAGTATCAATTTTCGTCTTAAAAAGCAGTATTTCACTCAACTATTTAGATGTAGATTTTATGACCTATTAAAAACATTCTGTTTACATTTATGTGGAACTTTGGAATTGTGCAAACAAGAAAGAACTAATATCAAAAAATGTAAAAATTCAAATATATACATTGAATGTTTAAAAAATTTTCACATGACTACTCGAAATATTCAGAACTTTTTTAACTATTTAAATATGGCAATGGACAAATTAAAAAGAGCAAATATTTGGCATGATAACGGATCACATTATTGTTTATCACCAATAAAAAACATAGTAGAAAATATACTTAACTGCATACAAGAAATAAACTTATTACAAGATGAGTTTTTTCATTCTGAAAGTTCAAATTTGAAAGAAATAGCAGACGATTATCTAGAAAGAGCACTATGTGTGAAAACATCTTTACAATTAGGTATAAATAACGTATCCCGAGTTCATAAAAAGCATTGTTTTTATGATGAAAAACCATTTCATTCAAAATATGAACTTTTAGTGATTAGCAATAAAAATGCAGATTCTACAAATATGGCTAATCCAACTATTAATCCAATTACAAATTATCAACAAGCTTGTATGGAAATTAATTGGTTTTGTGAAGAATTCATCATGATGGAATATAAAAATCTAGGGTTCGATAAAATTAATTAGAAAATTTGCTTGTAATTGTCTTAATGGATAATAATCGATTACGCTTATTTTATTTATAATAATCTTTAAACTACACAATTCTGTTATAATAAGTAAGGTATTGTTAATACTGTTTTATAAAATCTAAAGAAATTTCAATTTTAATACTGATTTAAGAATTAATGTTTTGTTTTTTATTAATTTTATTGATACATACTAGAAACTCTAACTATTTATTTAATGAAGGACAAAGTAAAAATTACATTTAAAACCATAAAATTATTCTATCTGTGAATTTATTAAAAAATAACATATTTAAACTCATAAACATTTTATTCTATACTAGTATTTACAATAGAAAAATTATGAAGAAAGTTATAGTATTTAACTTCAATATAGTGCGTTAGTTTCAAGATTTCACTAGAAAAAATTAAGTAAGTTAATCAGGTTTAAAAGTAANTAACTTCAATATAGTGCGTTAGTTTCAAGATTTCACTAGAAAAAATTAAGTGAGTTAATCAGGTTTAAAAGTAAGTATACCTAACAATACCTTTTTTCGTACGATTATATATAACTTGTTTAATTGTTGATGGAACATAACTATTAAGATAGTGAATTTAACTTTTATTTAATATGTAAATAACATGAAATTCAAATCTTCCGACTTCTAACTGTCGTTAGAAAAAATGTTCAATAATAAATCATATTAAGAACGTCCTAAAATTTTTAAAATCCTAGCTACAACATTGTTATAATTATACATATGAATAGTTATTACCCAAATTTTTATTACTTTTAATAAGCTATTAGTGGACTTTATATATTTAATTAATATCGATGATACATTCATATAAAAACCTATTATTTCTTAATTTACAAGAATAACACACTTTTCAATTTAATGATTCAATTGGTCAAAAAAAAGTTGGAAATGTCTCATTCTTAATAAAATTAATTTACTATGTGATTTTTTTTTTTTTTGTGGCTAACATTCAGTATAAAAGGTGTTGCGCCATGACACTCCTAAACTAACAGTTGGCGTCAATAGCTTATAAGGATCATGTGGACCGATAATACTTAACCTAAAATAAATTACATAACCTTTAAATAATTAATTTATATATTTAAAACGCAATTGTCGCCTTATGAGCTAAGGGATACAACAAATACTCTCTCTGGTGTTTGGATACTCCTTGATGTTTAGCTGAGCTGCCACTTTAGGGATCACATGAGCTGTACATTGACTTGGTTATCTGAGCTGATATTCTCTATTTCATTGAATCCTCTGCATAGGACAGCAGTGCATTAAAACTGTAGAATAGTGTCTACATTGTTCATAGTAACAATGTGGTTTTGTTTGAGAGCACAATTATTAACAGAGCACTGTATGAGCTTACATAAAAAACATCTACGGTGTGTAGAAGTACGTAGAGCACGTTAAAACAATGCATGAGCTTGCAGGTTAGAGAGAACACTCACATATTTAAAAACCACAGAAACGTTAAATTGTACTGACAACAGCAACAGCAGCTGATAACAACGGTACAAGTGGGTATTGCACCATATCCAGTATTACCAACTAGAGGTCAACATATACTAAATTGATAACTCTTTTATGGGGCTCAAACAAAAGGTCTCACTTGACCAATTTTTTTTAACGATCATTAAATGATCACAGCTAGTATCTAGTTAAAGATATTACACTTATAAATAAAAAAAAATAACTCTTTTACAAATAAAAAGTTGCTTAAAGGTTAATATCCACCAAATGCTCAAAAAAAACAAGGCTTTTTTCCTGATTTTTTTTTAGGACATTTGAGATGTAAGGTATATAAATAATATATCATTGGATTAAGCAACTCTTGGAGAATAGAAAAAAATTTTTTATTGTTATTTTTTTTACAAAATGGCGGATGTGCAGCGATTACCTTGAACTGCTTTTTTAAAAAGTTCTTCCGCGGCGAGCAGTAGAAGTCGTTCCCAAGTCCACCTAATTTTTTAACGTACTCCGAAAAACCTTCGAACGCATGGTGGTTAGGCGGGTGTCGGTTACTAATTTTACTCCGGGTTGTTCTGGTACTTCTTCTTTTACTGCCTTTGTGGTCACTGTACAACTTGTCACTCATAATTGAGTACTTTTGAATATAATTCACAGTTAAAAAGTATAGCAAAACTCAAACTAAGAACGTATACAACTAGAACGGCTGATCGACTAAACAAAGGGAAATTGTGAGTAAACACGTGCTGTACAGACGCTGTAACGATCGAAATTCTATACTTCAAATTCAAAACACGATATCGATCATAGGTAACTTCTACTAATTTACAAAGCCGCGAAATTAAAAAAAAAACCGAGCATCGCTAAATTAGGCGAAAAATGTGATTTTGAAGCATAAAAGTTGTTCGGTAAAAATTGATTTAAACGAATTTTGAGGTTAGATCAGTACTTGGGCGTTGAAGATTTTGATTCTAAGATAGTTTTAGCATGATTTAAGCCAATAAAAAAAATGAAAAAAAAAAAAAATTTGGTGGATATTAACCCTTAACCAACTTTCTCCATATAGATAGTAAAATCATTCATTTTTAATGTTTTTAACACGCTTATATTAGTTTCACATGTATGTTGATTGTTGTTTGTCGTTTGTTGTAAGTTTGTAACTCCACGTGGCACGTGTTATTATGTCGCGTATCCCATCGTGTATGACCTTGAGACTAGTCTGTCGTAACGCATTCACCCCACCCGCTCACCACTCACCACTAACACATACATTTCCTGTATAATTATATTTTTGGTTTTCGCACCCGTATACTCGTGCGTGTCATCAATTATATATATATATATATAACAAATTGTTATTGTGATTGACACGGCCCAGCGTCGTTTCGTTATACACGATGCACGACAACAGGAAGAAGACTACGGTATCATTAGCGGCAGGACGTCGTAGACCGTGCGGCACTTGCTAGACTTAGCACCGCGGCGTATAAATCGCGGTGTTGGTCAGTCAAATACTCATAGTAGGGCAACGGCTGATAAAGGTGGTACGAGTAGTGGGGCATCGCACAGTGGAATGAAACGCCGATTTAGGCGGCCAAAAGTATCAATTTTTAAAAGTCACTTAAATTTTTTTTTTTTAGCAAAACACATTAATATCATAATTAAGGGTTTTAATACAAATTTTCAAGGGCATAAGTTGATTTAGTAAAGGTGTAGAGCTATTTTAATGTTATACTTCTAAAATTTATCCGTATTTTCAGTTATTTTGAGTTTATTTTTGTACATTTTTTTTATGCCTTAAAACATAATTTAAAATTAAAAAAAATTTTTATTCCTATTAAAAAAGATATCCTTTTTCAAATGAAAAAGAAAAAAAAAGTTTTTTTTTATTTATGTAGAATTTAACAAATTTATACTTTAAAAAAATCGAATTTTTTCGTTTTTTTCTCTAGTTTGCTTGTTTAAAGAGATTAACTAAAAATTACGCAAAATTACACGTTAATCCATACATGTGGCTTGTAGAGCAAGTCATTAGCTATACTATGAAAAAAAAAAAATTTGCGCTCGATAATATTTGAACTGTACATACTGCATTTACCTAGAATAAACGAGTATTTTCCTAAAAATCGTATGTTTTACAGGATTTTTACTCTATAAATAAAATTAGTCATTATTTATTATTAATTGTTATACGATTACATTGATATATAAATATGAATATTTTAGTTTTATATATATAAAATATAATTATGCTCTTGATAAATTCATGTCTGAACATGAATCATTTAATTGACTATTTAATTCATCTTCTTTATAGTTGTCATCATTATAAGTACAAACTACTATACTAGAGATATATAGGGTATTTATTCCGATTACAAAGGATGATTCCCGTATCGTCATTTTACGTCACTACCTCCACGTTGCGCGCCTGCTGCTTTCCTTGGATGTGGTAGCCGTTTCTCAGACTCCCTCTCCGGAATCGAACCCTAATTCCCCTTTACCCGTTATAACCATGATATTGATAGTAACTACTATCATAACATAAAACTAAAAAGTGAAAAATAAATATAGTTTAAAAAAACTAAAAAAACACGCTTTTAAAGCACATCGAACTAAAAAATTAAAAATAATTTTTAAAATAAGCGTAAAACAATAATGAACGAAAAATACTAGTATTATTGTGATCAAACCGTCGGGCGCTTAATATGAGAAAAATATGGCACAAAGCACCCACGCTTTTATGACAATAATACTAGTATTTTTCGTTCATTATTGTTTTACGCTTATTTTAAAAATTATTTTGAACTTTTTAGTTCGATGTTCCTTAAAAGCGTGTTTTTTAGTTTTTTAAACTATATTTATTAAAATATATATTGTCGAATTCGATTTGATGTTATTGATGGGCATTTTCGAATATTTTAAACTATTGAATAACTATTCGAATTGTTTTTATACAACTGAATAATTTATTTTTAGCATAAACTATTAAATAGTTTTTAAAAGTATTTGAATGGGCTATCGAATGGTTTCAAAAAATATTCGATTAGTTCTACCTAAAATTTTTACTAAGTACACTTAATTATAATAAGAAGATAATTAAAGAATTCTTAAAATAAATTATTGTACAATTAACAATAGTAAAAAATACCAATTTATTTATTTTTATTTTGTTAGTCGTTGGTAAAAAATAATAAATTTGTGTCAAAAATTAAAAAAAACACAGTTCATTTTTTCGATGACTACAGATATATTTTCAGTTTTATCGGAAAGGTTTGTTCTATGAGCAACGGAAATATTTGTAAATACTAAAGTCTTATTTTACACTTGATACCTTCTATGCTGTTCTTAGTCTAGCATTACTTGCTCTTTTGTCTTGTAAAGGCATAACATCGATAAAGAGGACAGCGCGTTTTAAATTTTTACCTTTGTAAAAGTAGTGGCAACAATATATACTGCCCCTCTTTAAGAATCATATAAACCATTTTTATCAGTCGATTAATCGTTGAACATTTTAAAATTGTTGTTGTACCAAGCAGTTTTGTGTAAAATTTATTTTCTCTATAAAATGCACAGAAAAAAAAATAGATCGAACGTATGGAATTTTGTGGATAAGAATCCCAACTTTCCTAATCAAGTTATATGTAAATTATGTAAATTTAATATAAAATATGCTAATACTACATCCAATGTTTGGGATCATTTACG